TTAAAAAAAAAAAAAAAGAACTTTACAGCTTTGACTCTTATGTTAAGGTCTTTAACCCATTTTGAGTTCATTTTTGCATATGGTGTAAGGTTAAGGCCCAACTTCATTCTTTTACATGTGGATATTCAGTTTTCCTGGTATGATTTGATGAAAAGAATATATTTTTTGCCATTGAATGTTTTCAAAATTCTGGTTGAAAAGTCATATGATCAGAGAAACATATTCATTTCTGGACTTTCAATTCTATTTCATTGATTTATCTATCTACACATGTATATATTATGCCAATATTACACTGTCTTAATAACTGTGAGCACTCCAACTTCTTGTATTTAAGATTATTTGGTTATTTAGGGTCTCTCAAGTTTCCATACAAATTTTATTTTAGTTTGTTAAAATTTTTAAAAATTTTTTGGTTGTACTGGGGATTGAACTCTACTACTGAGCTATATCCCCAGCCCTTTTTATTTTTCATTTTCAGACAGGGGCTAGCTAAATTGCCCAGACTGCCTTGAACCTGGAATCCTCCTGCTTTAGCCTTTCAGGTTGCTGGGATTACAGATGTGCACTATTGTGCCAGGTTCCATGTGTATTTTAGAGCCATCTTGTCAATTTTCACAAGGAAGCCACTGGGATTCTGGTTACAGATTACACTGACAATTTGAAGAGTATTGCCATCTTAATGATACTGTCTTCTGATTCATGAACATGGGGATGACTTTCCATTTCTTTAAATTTTTTCAATCTAACAATATTCTATAGATTTCAGAGAATTTTGCACTTATGTTGGTTATGTTTATTCTTTATTATTTTATTCTTTTTTATGTTATGCTATTTATTTATTTTACATTTGTTTTTGTAATACTGGGGATTGAATATTCATGGTAGGCAAATGTTCTGCCACTGAGCTACACAATATTCATGGTAGGCAAGTGCTCTACCACTGAGCTACACACTGGACCTATTTTATTTTGGGGGGCGTGTGTGTGTGTGTGTGTGTGTGTGTGTGTGTTACTGGGGATTGGACCTATGTACTCTACCACTGAACTACAGCCACCCCTGCCCCAGCCTTATTTTATTTTTTATTTTGAGATAGGGTCTCGCTACATTGACCAGGCTGGCCTTAAATGTGAGATCCTCCTACCTCAGTCTTTCAAATCATTAGGATTATAGGCATGTGCTACCTAGGTTAGTTTAAGTGAAATTATTTTGCCAGGCACAGTTGTTCATGCCTGAAATCCAGCTATTTTGGAGGTTGAGGCAGGAGGATCACAAGTTTGAGACCAGTCTGGGCCATTTACTGGGACCCTGTCTCAAAAAGGGGCTGAGAATGTAATTCAGTGATAGAGCACCCCTGGATTCAATCCCCAGTGTTGGATAAAAAAAGGAAAAAAGGGAATTGTTTTCTTTTTTTTTAATATTTATTTTTTAGTTGTAGATGGACACAACACAATGCATTTATTTTTATGTGGTGCTGAGAATCAAATCCGGGTCTGCCCGTGCTAGGCGAGTGCTCTAGTGCTGAGCCACAATCCCAGCCCAAGGAATTGCTTTTTTTTTTTTTAAATACCTTTATTTATTTACTTATTTATGTGTGTGTGGTGCTGAGGATCGAACCCAGGGCCTCACACATGCTAGGCAAGTACTCTACCGCTGAGCCACAACCCCAGCTCCAGGAATTGTTTTCTTAA